TTTCAGTTTAAACATTGCCTTAAGTTAATTTAACTTATTTTAAAGTTTTTTATTATTAATATTATTGTTCTTTCGCATTTTTAAGAGATAAAAAAATACTATTGTGACTAATTAAAATGTACTATGTATACATTAATTACTATGAAATCTTATTTTACTTAATCATCTTATTTTTTTTTTTTAAATGCATCATATGGAGTGTATGTTTATTTTTACGATACTCAATATTATCGCTCAGTACGAGTAAGGGAAAACTCGCATGGCTAAATTTTTTTTTTTTCTTTTACCTCCCCGAAAACTAGTTGAACTGTTTTATTGATACTTTCTGGAATTCGTGAGAATATTTTTGGTTGGCAGAATATACATTATTCACTGTTTTTATTGAATAGTTCTTTTGAAAACCTAGTCATTAGACTTCAGCACGAACCCCCCACCCATCGTAGATCCTCCTGTGCTGTCATTCTGCTTAACTAGAAAAAAATATAATGAAGAGAAGAATAGTTGGGGTGGTCAGTCAAAAAAGAAGGCAAAAATAAATGATAATATTTATTTTTACATATGCCGACGTTTCGACCTGAAGTTCAGGTCTACATCAGGGCTGTCTCCTTAAGTGTTGCAGGGAGAATGACTGACCACCCCAACTATTCTTCTCTTCATTATCCACGACAGTCAACCATTTACCAATTAAGAAAAAAATATAATGTATAAAACTTGTATTACTTCGAATCTTTTACCTATTTTGTTAACACAAGTAAAAGGTTTAAAACCATTTTTTTTACAAAAACTGCGATTAAAAAAAAAGCTCCGATATCTGCCGAAAAATTTATTTATTTCTACTTTTTAGGAATCATTGTTAAATAGAAGTTCATATTAATTTGAAACACCATGATCCCCCTAAAAATTGTTAAAAATTATTTTTCTTTGTTTGAATATCCGAGCAATTTCTAGGTATATAACTAATATCTTTTATAACTGGGCATGCTCTCAAATTTAGTTTTAACAATTGTATTGTACATAATAAAAATAAGGTTCTGTAGTTATTTGTTTCGAAAAACATCCCCAAAAATACCTTAAATATTAAATCTTGATTTTCATTATTTTAAAATTTTAATTTGGTCTACCTAGTAGGAAATAAGCATTTATATTGTTCTTTTAAGTGTATATAAACATCTTTTATTTCCCTTTAATCTAGATAAATAAATAAACACAACACTGTTAAATGAACTAAAGTTTAAAATTAAATAAAAGGTGGGATCAATTGGTACCCATATAAGACTGCCTCAAGAAAAAAACCACTTTTATTTACTTGTTCCACTAATATTATTGTAAAGATATTATTAGTAAAGATTCCACAAGAGTATTGTAAAATGAATAGTTATAATTGATTAACGATACATTTTTTCAGTTATTACACAAAAATATATTATAATTATATATTTTGTGTTTTTTACATTAAAAAAATATAATAACGATTATATATAAACAGTAGGGATAAATAAGTATCTGAAATTATGCATATAGAGGTTTTTATTATTTTCTATGTTTATTTATTGTTAAATTTAAAAATCCTTAGATTTAAACATAGAAACCTGAATTTATAGGATTTCGTGGACATTTTCTGATTTTGATGTCATATTCGTGTTCCTTGGCATTGAAAACAGAAGGTTACTAAATATCGAGTTAATCCGACATTATTTTCATAAAAAGCGCCCCCCAAAACGTAATAGTCGACCCTGATAACGATTAGATCCGAAAAGTTACAAAAAGTCGGGGCCCGGGACCACTGTCTCAAATTCGACATTATTTTCATAAAAAGCTCCCCCCAGAACCTAATAGTCGACCCCGATATCGATTAAGTTCGAAAAGTATTAAAAAGACGGTGCCTGGAGCAGTCTTTCAAATCCGACATTATTTTTAGAAGGAGGGCCCCCGTAATAGTCGACGCTGATATTGATTTTTTTTTTGTTTATTAAAAATATTACAATCTGTCTCAAAGGACATTTATAATAGTGTTCAGAGATCACATTCACGCTCTATGTACAATAATAATATACACTGACAGGCAAAAAATTCCACCCACTTGGTTTTTTCATGTTTTCATCTAAAAATATTTCTGCTTTGGATTGGTCTATAGTTTTTAATGAATAAATAGGTAATCTTTTGTTTCTTTTCAATTAGGAATGTTAATATAGAGGACAATAACCCTTAATCCTTAATTCAACGGAATGATTCTAGATTCCAATGTTTACTTTCTATGGAATCAAAATGTTTATTCAGTATCATTAGTTCAGTGCCGTTTCTTGCAGCACATTTCTTAGTCTCCGGCTTTTAATTTTTTCAATATTAAGTTTAAAAATGCCTCTTAGTGCTGAGGATGTTGCGCGTGGTGTGGCACTTATTGATGATGGACGTTCCATTAGATATGCAGCTAATGCCATCGGAGTTCCATATGAAACTTTACGAGACGCCGTCAGGCGTTTTCGGGAAACTGGTTCTTACAATAGAAGGCTTACCTGGCCTGTTCTGGACGGCCTAGGGTAACAGAACCACGGGATGACCGGTTTTTGACTTTGAGAATTTTACAAAACCGGCACCTTACCGTTGTTCAAGCGATTCATCAGCTCGAAGAAGTTCGAGGTGTGCAAATTTCTGAACGTACCGCTCGGAGAAGATTAAATGAGTATGGATTAATGGCTTTTCGTCCAGTAAGAGGACCAGAGTTGACCAGAACTCACAGAGTAACATGGCTGGCTTTTGCTCGAGAACACAGCCATTGGACTATGGACGAATGGAGTGCTGTACTTTTTACAGATGAGTCAAGATTCGCTCTTCGATCTCCAGATGGGCATGAAAGGGTGTGGAGAAGAAGAAACGAAAGATATGCAGCCTGTAATTTTTCCCAGAGCCAACCTTTCCAACGGGGTTCCTTAATGGTGTGGGCTGGGATTTCAATGGAGCGCCGCACAGAATTGGTTGTTGTTCGTGGAGGGTCTTTCACTATGTAGATGAGATTTTGTTCATGTGTTGCCTATCCTCAACGAAATCGGCGATCGTTCTATTCTAATGCACGATAATGCACGCCCACATGTCGCCCGCATAGTGCAGACGTTCCTTCAACAGAACAATATTGAGGTTTTAGCCTGGCCAGCACGTTCTCCAGATTTGAATCCCATTGAGCATTTATAGGATAACCTCGGAAGACGAATAAGAGCGCGTGCAACACTTCCTGATACATTGCAGGACCTTGAAAGGGCTCTTCGGGAGGAATGGGCTATCCTCCAGCAAAGGGACATTTCCTGACTGGTGGAAAGTATGCCGAGGCGTCTTCAAGAAGTAGTGAAGGCAAGAGGAGGAAACACGCGCTACTAAACGATGATGTAATTAATTTCTTTTAGAATAATAATGGTTCGTTTTTCAATTTTTTTTTCTCTAATCTTCTTACCCAATCAGATTTTGATTATCAAAGGTAAAAAAGATTATAAAATTCCATAAATACTAAGTATTATCTACAAATACCATGTATTATATACAAATACAACTTTTTTTACAAGTGGGTGGAATTTTGTGCCTGTCAGTGTATATCTATAATCACCTCCTTGCACAACCGTTGATCTAGAAACAGTGCTTTCCCTAAATAGTACTGAACCCAAGACCCTTCATGGGTTTTAGTGGTACAGGTTTATATATATATATATTTTTTTTTTCTGATTCTTAGGACGGAATTACTTAATTTAAATGTTAAACCATAGTTGCATGAGGATAATGATAATTGTCCGGTTTGTAATTCCAGGGAAAAATAAGACACCATACACTTCCTGGGGTCCTGTCATGTCGATAGTGAGATTAGGGAAAAATGTTTTGGTCGGCAGACATGTTCGCCAGAGGAATCATTTAGTCCATTGAGAGGTGTTAATTGGAAAGCCCTAAGTAATTATGTACAGTAAGCCACATTACAAAGAGTCCAATTTTTCATTTTGTAAATGATTAGTGGAATACCTTATTTATTTTTTATGAATAGAATTTCTTTTTTATTGTTGTATTGTTTATTATTTATTGTGAAACGTACTTTATCTAGATAGGACTTTACTTCTTACCATTATTACTTATTGTTTTATTGCTTGTTCTTCAAGCTTTACTAACTTTGCTACTTCAGTCGGTAGAAACTGTTTCAAATTTACTAATTACTAATATATTTTAATGATTTTTTTTTTGTAGAAAATTTAGGAATCTTTCAATTAATGGGTACAATCAAGATTATTTTAATTAATGAGTACATGGATACAATCGAGAAAAAATCTATACTTTTTGAGTTATTCGCAAATAAAGTTTCTTTTCCTTCAGAACTTTTTTCCTGAAATTTAGGGGCGATGTGACTTTTTTTCCATATGAAGGAGATCTTCAAAATGAGTGTTCAATCATTATGTTTGATGATGATATGGCATAGTGACAAAAAACCACCTTTAAGAAATAAATACTTCTGAAGTAGATTCCCCTAAAATGGGTATTAGTTGAAGCATCGACAGGTATATATTGAGAAAAACTGTTTGTTTTTTTATGTTAATAGGCGGGTAATTTTATTTTGGGTTATCGACAGCACTGGATTTTCAGAGTCATTTTATTCTCAATGATCGGAGGCACAGTTTTCAGAAAAATTTCGAGAAATTTATTTAATTGTGAACTTTAATAATTCTAACTAAATAAAATTATTTTAATATTCAATCTGCAAACTAAGCATTGCTTGATTATTTTATTTAAGTTCTAATATTTTTTAAAAACTTTATGAATTACCTTTTTGCTTACTCTAACCTATAGAAATAAATCTATTTGTTAACTACTATACATTTTGGCTTGCATATTAAATTAGTTTTTATGATTTTTGGGGTTATTAAACTTAAATTTTAGACAGCCGCTGGCTCAGTTAATATAATAACCATTTTTTTTATGCCATTTTTTAAAATGTAAAATGTTTTCACAGATTAATGTGCATTTTATATTTTTAGTCTCCAGATGTATCTCAACAGCTCCAACTGTTCTCAGTCCTAGGAAAAGTATCAAGGATAGAACAGGCAAAAATATTGTGTTTGTTGATGGAGTGAGGACTCCTTTCCTTTTGTCAGGAACTGACTATGCTAAAATGATGCCACATGAAGTTGCCAGACATTCTTTGATGTAAGTGTGTGTTTTAAAAAAATTATTTTATACCATTCACCACCAGGTATAGACCCAATTACAGTTGTTAAAGATAGCAAAGTTGATATGTTAATATTGATTTTTCTTTTATAATATAAACATTTCCTGATCATTTGTACAAAATGAAAAGATAAATGAATGTAAATGATTTTTAAAAATAAATAAATTTGATTATGATCCAAACAATGATCTATCTAATAACCATGAAACACCTGTATTTTGCAACTGATTTACAGCAATTAACTTAGCTAATCCTCCTCAACTTCTCTTCTTCAAAGCTTCCAATACTGTTGATCATGGCATTCTCCACACTCTGAACCCTATAATCCAATAGTATCATTAAATTATTTCAGTCATACCTAACCAAGCATTCATAAGTACATTCTTTCTTCTCCTTTCCTATGGTGTTTCACTGTGCTCATTCCTTTTTCCTATTCTTCTGAGTATTGAATGTATCCTTTGTTATAATCACTATTTATATGATGATTACTGTCAGTCATACCTTCCCTTTATTGTTATTAATCATACTTGAATTTTTATTTATTAAAAAATTAAATTTGGTTTTTAAACCAACATGCGTTAGCAAATATACCACAATGAACTTTTAAGTTTAGTATTTATATTTGTTTCAATCAATTATTTATTCATGTGGTTAAATATTTTTAGGGGTCTTCTAAATAAAACAAAACTTCCTAAAGAACTGGTTGACTATATTATATATGGTACCGTTATTCAGGAAGTAAAAACATCTAATATTGCACGAGAAGCAGCTCTAACTGCTGGTTTTTCTGACAAGACACCTGCTCATACAGTCACAATGGCTTGTATCTCATCAAACCAAGGCATTACTACTGGTATTGGAATGATAGCTGCTGGTGCTTATGAGGTATCAGAATGAAACACTCTTTCAATTTTTTTTCTAATGTTATAGTGCCTTTTAATTTTATTTCATAAAAAGGTACGTGATTGATCAAAATATTGTTAATTATTCTTTATTGTTATATAATTATAAAAGTTCAATATCTGACTCATAGCTTTATATTCAATAAATTTAGCTCACTATATGTAAGTATCTTAAAATCTTACATTAGTCACTTACATTTCTAAACAATTATAGTTTCAATCGAGAAATCCCTTTTTTAATTATGTTTAGATATACAGTTGAATGCCTGTTTATCAACCTTTATTATATTGAAATTATTTACATATATCGATATTATTTAAGAACCTTGATTTTTTATTAGAAAAAACATTCTGTATATCGAATAAAAATTTTATATATTGAACAGTCACTTTTAAAAAAAATATAAACAGTAATTGTAAAAAAAAAAAAAAAAAGAAATAGGCCTTTATTTTAATTTCATAGCATTGTATAATAATTAAATATAAAAATAAAAAATGGTCCACTGTGCTAAAAAACGGTGTTTCTGTTATTAATGTATTTAAAAGTTTTAGAAGAGATTGAAAACAATTTAAAATTCTTAACTCTTTACAGAGCAATGGTCATATATGTCCTTACTACCTAAAAGTGGGAATTTCCTATTCAAAATAGTTCGGTTAGATTCCTGTAGATGTCAAAAAATGTAGACAAATATTTTAAAGGTTAGAATTAGTCTATCAGTATGCTCTAGCTGAAATTCAATTTAGGTGTGACAAAGATGATCAATGTCCATTTGAGGTACCGGCAATAGTAATAAATTTATTATGTAGTTTTACTTATTTTTTCAGTTTTTCTATTTATTCGGTGTTTAAATTTTTTTAATATTCATATTTGAGATATTATAATTGTAATTTTATTTCATTTTACATAAAAAATTATATATAAGCTTTTAATTAATAAAGAACATTTCATGAAAAAAAATTAAAATATATGTATTTTTATATAAATAGTGAAAATCAACCAGTCTTATTTAGTATTATTTAAAATTTCAGCTTGGGAACCAAACTTTTCTGTTATTTCACCAATAAATAAGAAGATCTGCTAATTAAACTTTTTTAAATCACATAAATTTTTAAAATCCCTGCAGTAAGAGTAAGGAAAATTATTATAATAAAAATATGGGAATTAAGTTGTCTTCATATGAGTGATTTAAGTGTACTCAAGGGACTGGAGTAGGATAAGGCTGCATGAGCTCCTCCCATCTCCTATCTGTAAACTCACTCAGCCTATACCATTTAATCTATTAGCATGTTTTTTTTTTCTATAATTTGTAATAATTTTATTTATATTTTTCAATCAAATGATCATTATATACTGACTAATGTTTAATTTACTGTTACATAGTGATTTAGAAGCTAAATATTTTGACAGATTATTGTTGCTGGAGGTGTTGAGATGATGTCCGATGTACCTATTCGTCATTCCCGTAAAATGAGAGCTCTTATGCTACGTGCCAACAAAGCCAAGACTCCATTACAAAAGCTTCAGCTTCTTGCATCTATAAGGCCAGACTACTTCATACCAGAAGTATGTTACTTTTTTAAATATTTTTTCTCTTTAAACCTGTTTTTAATTAACATATTAATATATATATATATATATATATATATATATACAGTTGCAGCATTTTCAAATAAAATACATAAAACAAAAATCTCAAGTTTATTAAGTTATGAAGAAAAAGTTTATTAATTTATTATCAGCCTATTCTCCTCATATATTTTTATTATTATTTCATTCGTATTGTCGTTATAATATTGTTTATTCAGGATTGATAATGTCTATTCTTGATCCTTTGTAATTTTATTCTTTATTATCAATTTGATTTTGTTATGCATAATCAAACATGTATAAGTAAGAGAGTTTTTCTTTATAACAGGAATAAACTGATAACTAATTATTTCTTATTTAAGAAGATAAGGATAAAAACAAATTCTAATTAGTAATGAGTAGAGACAGAATTTTCATGCATTAAAAATCCGAAAACGTGCAGCCAAGAACTTAAAATGTGCATAATCGTGCAGTAAAAACCTAAAATACATAAAATTATGTAACTAACCCCTAAAAACGTGCAAAATCATCAATATTGTTTAGTTTATAATATTTATACATCAAAATATTATCAGAGAGTTAAACGAGAGATAAAAGAGATTAAAATAAAATGTAATATTGAAAATGAAATACCAGATTATAATCAACAAATGAAAATAATATATATTATACAACGATAAGTTACGATTAATCCAAGTCTTAAAGGAAGAGAAATTTAAACAATAATAAGGAATACATAAATCTAATATTGACTTAATACCCTTTTCTATCATTTAACAGCAAACATTTCAAAATAAAACACAAAACACTTGGATGAAACATCTATTAAATTTTCTCTCTGCAGAATAAGGCCTCAATAATTAACAGACATATAATCTAATATATTTGTTTGAATTTTTCTTAAATTGGTTAATTGGTCAATTGTCTGACATACAAGGAATGATATAATACTTCATTCCCTTCCAACCCAAAAATCAAGAAAAACCTGCCAATCACCCCCTCTTCATTTCACCGGTCCCAACCCACCTACGGAGGTCAGGTCCACGCTCTCCGTGCAGCACTCAGAACCCCAAATCTCTAACAACCCGTGTACGGATCAGTGTAACTCCTCCCAGACTATCACAACTCCCTTGGCTGCCGACAAAACTTCGAAGGATCCAGTCCTGGCAAAAACTTCTTGCAAAAAACTCCAACCTCTCAAACTGCTATGAAAACCCATTCCACTCATCCATACAAAAACTATCAGAGATTCAGAGCTCCACATGAATGCCCCCATCACTGGCCAGGATTAAAATCATTTGAGAAAACCAAGCACCGAATTTTACAACCCCTTTCCTCCACTAAAATTCACAATTAAGAACACCAAAAACGAACCCAACCCGCCCCTCTCCCCAATACCAAAAATCCATTTGGCCTACCACATTAGAAGTTGTCCCAGGCTCCTGCAACCTCGATACACCACAACTCACCCAATATAAGTCAACACTTCTTTCCTCCTTCACACTTTCTCCTTCAGTTTTTTTCTTTTTCCGTTGATATGTGGTGCCATGGGTTCCCAAGCAAAGCAAGGGCAGGAATTGGTGGCATGGATGTTATTTCGGATTATAAAATGTTTTTGTCTTGGCTCCCGGAGTGGTGTTTGGCGTAATTTGATGTGTTGTGGCTAAGGGGAAGGGTTAACGGAATGTGTCCGATTTGTGTCACTCAGATACAGACTTAAGGGAGTAGACAGAATCCAAGTATGCAAAGCTGCCTCCATAAAATGGTCCAACCTTTTGAACTTCATTAGAAGAACAGAAAGGTTTGAGACAGAACAGAGGCACGATAGACAACCACTGGTAGTATTAAATTTTCGGGGTTGGCAAAAAGGACCAATAGGCCCACTTGCTGGACTAAGTCCCCCCACCAGTACCTAAGGGAAAGGGTTTGATTGAGGGCGATGACCCACTCACTGTAGCCTCCCCTTGTTAGTAAGATGGTTTCTGATAAAGAGGAGTCCTATTCTTGGAGACGTCAGTAAATAAAATCTTATTCAATTATTTATTTAATCAAACCCAAATTTTGACCTAAAATCTTTTCAGATCTGATATGATACAAAGAACAAGAACACTGTTCTAATTTTTTATGCTTTTAAATAGACAAATTAATATAAAAAGGTACGCCATGATGTGATAATAATTACATGACAGTTGAAAATTATGTAAAACCTAAATTTTTAATGTTATTAATTAATTTATTGATTTATCCTATTTGATCTTGTATAATTATAGAGATAAAAATGGTGCACGGACACCAAAAGCAACTCTGGGAGTAACGTTGTAAAAAGATTATAGAAACTGTCATTGGTAAAAAAATGCTGATTTACTATGAACATACAAAACAGTCTAAAATTACCTAAAAATTTCCTTTGAAATTCTTTTGAAATTTTAATAAATATTATATTTATTATTTAAATAAATCATAAATAAATGTTTATAACTTTTATTAGCTTTTTTTTTTAATTTGTAAGAGTAGTGACTTCTGACCTAAATTTCTCAAGTTTATTTATTAAATTTGTATACTTTTTACATTACCAATAATAATTATTATTAACAATAATAAAATTATAGCTGCCTGCTGTGTCAGAGTTTTCATCTGGAGAAACTATGGGTCATTCAGCTGACCGGCTAGCTGCTTCTTTCAAAGTGAGCAGAGAAGAACAAGACAAGTATGCTCTCCGATCACACTCCATGGCTAATGATGCCTTTAATAAGGGATATATGACTGATATAGTGCCAGTTAAAGGTATTTTATTGCTTACTGATTCAATTTTATTTTCTTATCTTCCACAGGAGCCTTCTTTATATTTCATCTTTTAGTTTAAGTGTAAAGTCACTCCCTTTTTCACTTGGCCAAGACACATATTGAAAGTAGGAATGATTACTTGTGGAGGAGACAAGAGGCAGTCTACTATTATTAAATTTTTGTTCCTCTTTGTTATGTTTGTTTTCCAAGTTGCTAAGATGTTTCTTTTGACACTATTGACTATGGGCATGCGCTTCATGTTTTTTATACGTTCCCTTTTTTCCATAAATCATTTATCATTTTTTCTGGAAACCAATTTTCAATTAATACTCTATAAACAATCCCTTTTACTTGTTTTATGTGTTTCCTACTAGTTGACTTTATGGCCCTGTCTATTAATTTCATTACATTCTTAATTTTATAAAATGGGTGGTTGCTTTGATATAGTGGTTGCTTAGAGGAAGTATATGATAGAAAGAATATTCCCAAGGATTGGGAATATAGCATAATCCTTCCAATTCATAAAAAAATCAGTTCAACGGACTGCAATAACTATAGACCCATTAGTCTGCTCTCTGTGGTCTATAAATTATATACCTCTATATTAGAAAGGAGGCTCCGGCGGATTGTGGAGGAACAGCTGAAAGGTGAACAGGCTGGTTTTCGTCCTGGCCGACAGACTCAATACCATATCTTTGTTCTTAAAACCATCGCTGAAAAGGCCTGGGACAGAAACAAAAACCTGTACCTGGCATTTCTTGATCTAAGGGCAACGTTTGACTCAGTTCCTAGGAAAGAAATTTGGAACGCTTTGGTTGCCAAGGGCGTGCCTGGAGATTTGATTGAGGCCATGAAATCAACCTACCAGGGAGCCATAGGAGTGGTAAGGATAAATGGTACAGAATCAGAACCTTTCCCAATTGCGAGAGGAGTCAGACAGGGAGATAGTTTAAGCCCCCTCCTGTTTATAAACTTTATGGACGAGGTCCATAAAATCTGCTAGCGTCGGACTGCATGGACTACAATTGGAAACTGGTATATGAGAACTGTACTCGTACAGAGCTTTTTATATGCGGATGACATTGTGCTCATCGCCTATTCCAAGATGAAACTAAAGCAAGCACTGGTAGAATGGGAAGAAGAGCTGCTGAGGAAAGGTGTGCAAATAAATGCCTCCAAAAGTAAAGTGATGATTATGGCAAAAGAAGAAGAGGAAGACGTCCAATTGGTTTGCAACGGAGAGATACTTGAGGTAGTAAAGGAGTACACATACTAAGATACCATAATTGCTGACGCTGGTAAGATAGATGCTGAGATTTCGTATAGAATATCTAAGGCGAATCAAGTATATCACCAGAACACTAGCAGTATCCTCAGCTGCCGTGAAGTGGATAAAAATACCAAGATGCACGTCTATAAGTCTGTATAACTTCCTATTCTCATCTACGGCAGAGAAATTTGGACTATGTTGGACAAACATTATAGTCGCATAACAGCAGCGGAAATGCGATTCTTACGTAGATCGGTGGGCAAAACTAGGAGGGATCGCATTAGAAATGAAACTATCAGAGAACAGCTGGAAGTTCCTGAACTCAAAACCACCTTGGAGAACAGGCAATAAAGGTGGTTTGGACATGTCTGCCGCATAAACGAGGACATGGACCCTATAAAGATATTAGAGGCTCGACACACAGGGAAGAGGCCACAAGGACGTCCCAGAGTCTCATATCAGGAGTTCATGGAAAGGATCGGAGGTAGAAGAGGCAAATCCTTCAACCAAATGAAGCAGTTAAGCAGAGACCGGGAAGAGTGGCTGCGCTGGATAGAGGCTCCTCGACGCTAGAAATGGCATTGTGAGGAAGACGAAGAAGAAGAAGGTATCATCTGTTTCATTAATGGGAATCCCAGGGCTTCATAGATTCAAAGCTGTGTAATTTACATATAATAATGCAATATTTGAGAGGATGTTGGATGTGTGGTTTTTAAGATTATTTCTTTCCTTTCAGCATAAATTCAGGAGGCTGATTAGAACACAGCCTTCCATCTTCTTAGGAAGCACCATCTGGATTCAGAGAAGGCAATCTAACCTTTCTAAATCAGTTTTTGTCGACTTCTGTACTATAAATGAATAGACTTATTAAGCCGGTGCTGCTTAAGTTAATTTTTTTCTATATAAATGTGATATAAGTACTTATTTGAGACAGAATTTAAATTCTTTCGCGAAGTAGAAATATTGAACATATCAAGATTTTTAATCAGATTATAGACGAGACGGTTTAGGGTAGTTTCAAGACTGAAATGAACAATTGGGTTGTCCAGAAAATAATGCTCTTTCATGTTCTCTTTACTTTAACCCTCTATATAACTAACTGTTTAAAATTTAAGAGATTACTGTTTTGCATGGGTGTCAACATTTATTAATCCTCTTCCAAATAAACATTTTTTTATCTTCTGTAGCATTTTAGTAACTGTTTAAATTTTCAGTGATTACTCTTTTGCATGGATGTCAAAACTCTTTTCGGCGATGGTTCTAAGAACAAAGATATGGTCTTGAGTCTGTCGGCCAGGACGAAAACCAGCCTGCTCACCTTTCAGCTGTCCCTCCACAATCCGCCGGAGCCTCCTTTCTAATATAGAGGTATATAATTTATAGACCACAGAGAGCAGACTAATGGGTCTATAGTTATTGCAGTCCGTTGAACTGCTTTTTTTTTATGAATTGGAAGGATTATGCTATATTCCCAATCCTTGGGAATTTTCTTTCTATCATATACTTCCTGGAAGAGCCTTTGAAGGACTTTTAAGTAGTTCATTTCCACCATATTTCAAACATTCTGGGGCGATATCATCCCTTCCCGGTGCCTTTCCTGCTTTTAGAGTCTGGATTGCATCTTCTATTTCTTCTTCTTCTATTACCTCTAGGCTTTCTAAAGTAGAGTGCTCTTGTTCTTGGTAGTGACGTATTCCTAGATTTTCGGAGAATTGTTCCTGAAAATGTTGTTTTCATCTGTTCAGGATCTCTTCCTTGTCAGTTAGCAGAGATCCATCGCTATCCTTTACAGTTCTGAAGGGCTTGTTTTTCTTTCCTCTTAAAAATTTAATTTTTCGCCAAAAAGTTCTTATGGATTCACGATGGTCTTCACTCAATGTTTTACCGAAATCCTCCCACGAATGTTTCTTGGCCTGGCTAATGGCTGTCTTGCATTCATTCCTGGCTATTCGGTAGTTTTGTAGCTTTTCCTCGTTTCTATCTTGAAGGTATGCTTTCCAGGCAAGCTTTTTCTGAGCAACTATTCGTTGAAGGTCCTCATTCCACCAGTCAGTCCGCTTTCCCTTACCAGATACCTTCGCTTTTCTTTTACTATCTATAATAATCTTTGTATCAGCCACAAGTAGAAGGTGGTCACTGCCTATCTCTGCACCTCTCACGATCTTTACATCAGCGAAATATTGTCTAATGTGTCGGTCATATATAAAATAGTCAATTATACTCTTTCGTTCCAAGCACGATAAAGTAATTTTATGAATTCTTTTGTGTGGGTAGAATGAATTCCCTCACTGTCAGAAATAAGGAAAAATAAATCTTTACATTGTCGATTTTATCACTCATTAATGGATGCTGGAGTGGAAAGGCATTTATTTTTAATTTTTATTCATGATATTTACAACTGTATTAAAAATAAAAATACATCTTGAAAATTTGAACTACAGCTGAGATGTACAAATGCTACTCTGAGTACTGAGTACCAAGTATTTTACTTAAATTGATTCATTATTGGGAATTCAATCACTACTTCAGTTAATTGTTTGACATTAACTGAAGTAGTAATTAAATTCTTTGGTGCTCAAAAAAGGTCAGTATTTAAGTAAAATACTTGGTACTGAGTACTCGGAGTAGCATTAGCCAATCTCTGAACTACTGACACTGATATGAAATCACGTATTGAGAAACTACCCACTGGTAGCACTCTAAACTTATATTTACATTAGGAGATCACGAGGCCATCATCTTTTCAGACACCTCGGAGGGTTATTATGGATCGAAGAGGAAGCAAGGTTAGAAACGAGAGGGTTCGGATGGTTCTGAAGTATATTATGGATGGATAGGTGTCTGGATTGGGTCAAATCGGAAACATAAAATATTAAGGTCTTTACGGATGATTTTATTTGTTACAAAGTAAGGAGTATTGAGGATTTTACAAAGGATTTTGGATTAAAAGGATTGCATACAAAAGGAATTGTATGGTTTAGTGGAGCCCCAAAGCTCAACTACAGAAGTCCCAATATCACTTAATACAGTCATGTATATGAGTCTTTTGTAATTACATTGGAAGCATTTGTTTAGTAAATGTTAAAGTAGTTGGGTCATTAATATTAAAACAAAAAAATGTTTTAATTGAATTCATTTTTCTATTTTACTTTTATTACTTGATAATTTTCTCATGAATAAGTTGAAGTTACTTCATATTTGAAGTCTTAAGTTGGGTTAAATGATGACTACAATATTACATTTTTTACTAAATAAAAAAATTAATTAGTGATTAAAATCACATCACATACAAAAACTAAGTTATTCATGATAAATAAGAAATAATTTTTTTTTTATGAAGGATGAAGAATATAATGTTCTTCAAGAAATATAATTGTCTTTGAAATTTGGTTCTTATTAAAATTGATTCTATTGAAATTAGTGAATTTAAAAAGTGTTTAACCTTTATTGTTATTTTTTATTAATTTAATATCTTTGAGTTAAATATTCTATATAATATAAGCTTTTACTTGGTTTGTCGGTTTCATTTTTTTTTTTTTTTTTTTTTTTTTTTTTTTGTAGCTACTAGCAGCATAACACTTGTAGTGTTGGTTTAAATTTCAGTTTGATAGCACTAAATATTTTTTTTACATTTATTAATAAGCACTGAACAGTAATAATAAAATAACTGAAATTAAATATTTATAATTGTTAAAGCTCTGGTAAGCAATTACTTTGTTGATAAAGAATTTGTGCAACTGTTCGCTATCTGAGTTAGCAAGTGATTTTGATTATTAAAACTCCTTTTTTGGAAAAATAAATTACACTGTATCAATAAAATTTATTTATTTTTCTAGTTTCTGGCTCAGATAAAATTGTAGACAAAGACAATGGAATTCGAGTTTCTACTTCAGAAGCCCTTGCAAAATTGAAACCAGCTTTTATCAAACCTCATGGAACAGTCACTGCTGCCAACTCATCATTTTTAGTGAGTTTTTAATTTTGGAGTTCATTTAGAATTTAAACTGAAGGCCTTTTCAATTTATTCATGTTTTTGTATGTAGCTTGATTAGGATTCTAATAAGTATGAATGACATACAAATATCTATTCTCTTTCTCACAATTCTTATTAATTATTGGTTTGAATTAACCCTTAAATTATATTTACAATAGGTTATTCATTCTGTCATTATCATATTGAATTACCTACTTAATGATTTTTAATTCAATCAAATTTATGATTCACGAAACATTTTCTTGATATTTTCATTTTTATATTTGTGAAAGAAAATTGGTTCTTATTTTTTTTATTTGGAGTCTTTTCTTTATAAATTGAGGTTTCCCTTAGCTAAATTTCTCTACTCCTCCCTGCTCATTGTTTCCTTTCCTTCCCCTACCCCCTGTCTCCCACTCAAATAGCGTTTTGGGGACTCGTTCACTATCCATCCTTTTAACACGACAGTACCATTTCAGTTTCCCTACTTCCTTTACCTCACTACATTCTTTCTTACTTCCATCCTTTTTTTAATTGTCTGTCTGTATTTTTGATTTGCTGCGATCTTGAAAATTTAGTTAGCCGACCTTCAAAAATCCATCTCCACAGCCAGGAATCTTTTACTTTGTAATTTTTTGAGCAGCCAAGTTTCAGAGCTATAGAGCATTATGTTTTCTACCTATGACCTTACTTATTAATTTATTCATATTCACATAAATATTTTCGCTCCAAATCACTGAATTCAACATACCAATAGCTATCCATCCATTTGTCATTATTTTTTCTACTTCCTTCCTTGTTCTTCCACTGCTTCTGAGCGCTGAGCCAAGATAGCAGAATCGTATACCCTACTAAGCTTTTTAAAAACTGGGCATTCACCTCATTATTCTCTGTGAACATTTATTTTGTTTTATCTTAATTAATGTATTTCACCACGGATAATATAATCACACGGATAGGTGTCATTTTTTTCCTTCACCATTCATCTTGGTCATGGTGAATCTGGTTTTATTAGTAATTTGTAATCTATTTATTTGTAACAATACTTTAATGGATATAATTAAATAAAAAAACTGAAATTCATTTTGATCTGGTCAATAGGTAGTGTGAAATACACTTTGCAATCAACAACAAACTTCAAAGTTCTACTCAGTGAGATGATCTAAACATTTCTGGCTTTGATTTTTTTCTTAAAATTAATTTGTTATTCTGTTGTAAAGTAAGTTCTGTCAGAAAATGTTCAAAATGCTTTTAATCTACTGTTCCTCCAATATAATAAACCCAGATAGAAACATATGGCGATTTTTGGTGGAAGCTTGGACTCCCTTGACAGTTATATCATTTCAGTAATAATAATTCATATAAAAGTAAATATAAAATATATTAAACTGACCAATAGACACTTAATAGCGAATGTTAGATGTTTTTTAAAGTTAAAAATAAAATATGTTTGATATTTACTGCCGAGGTTGTTTTTAAAATATTTTTTTTAAATTTAGTTGCTTGGCAATAATAACTTCCAATTATTAACAATTCGAGTATATTTTTAACGTTACATGTTAACAGGCTAGTTTACGTTTCGTGACCTTTTATTCCCATCTTCAGAACTGCAATTCCAATACTCTTGTGGATGCAAGGCTAAAAAATTTTTAAGTTACAATATTGTGCTTGTTACATTACATATTTGTACTATGTTTGTTACAATAAATTTGTTATTACCTTAATTTTAATTACAAATTTGGTGTCTTCTGATTCTGACATTTTAAGTCTATGTAAATAGAATTCTTAATCTTACCTTTTTAAGTTTTAATCATCCACTTAATGTCTTCTGTTTTTTATTTCACTTCACCACAAGCCTTTTTTAAAACTAAGCAAAATCAATCTTTATTAAACTAACAATACAACTTCATAGAAAGAACAGGGTCATAACTAACATGTGTTTTTATGTGTATATCTTTTTTTAAATTTATATAATCGATATAACATATGATCGATTTGTAATTAATTTTAATAAAATTACTTTTAACACAACCCCTTAATTTTATTATTATTATTAATTTTATACAAGCAAAAATATGAACTTTGAGATCAAACTTACAAACAAAAATATTTTTCAAACATTTTAAAATAAATAAGAACTGTTATTGAAGTTAACAAAAAAGTTATATAAAGAGAAATTAATTACAGATATTTACATTAAGTTTTTCAAATTTTATATTGCCTAGTGGCTTTGTCAAAATATCAGCTAACTGCATATCGCTTGCATAATGAACGAAATTTACAATTTTCTCATCAGAAACGTCTTTCAAAAAATGATAACAAAATTCAATGTGCTTACTTCGTTTGTTCTTAATCCCTGTTCTAATAAGGTTAATGGTACTGAAGTTGTCAATTAGCATCGTCGCCTTAATTTCATTATTTGTAAGTTCTTCGATCAGTTTTTTGATGTATAGAAGTTCTTTACAGCATTCAGCAGCACTGATGAATTCAGCTTCAGTACTACTTAAAGCCACAATTGGCTGCCTCCTAGATCTCCAACAAACTGGTCCTCTGTTCTAGAAAATGATGAATCCTGATGTGCTCCTCCGTGTCTCCTGATCACCTGCATAGTCCGAGTCACAGTAAGCTGTAATTCTTGATTCACCATCCTCTCCAAAGGCGATTCCTTTGTTACGACTTCCCTTTAAATATCTCATTATACGTTTCAGATTTGCGATATCTTGACTAGTCGGATTTTCCATATATCTACTTTCATATCCCACAGAGTAACACAGGTCCGGTCTAGTTTTTGTAGCTAGATACAATAAGCTACCTACTGCTTCTCGGAATGGGTAATTGGTCTGCTTTTCTGATAAAGTAATTGCATTTTCTTCTCTTTTTTGTTGCACCATAGGTGTCACTGAAGGATTTGCATCTTTCATTTCGAATCTTTCAAGAATCTGGTTTGCATAATTTTGTTGAGTTAATCTCAAGCCTCCTTCTTTTACGACCTATTCCATGCCCAAAAAGGAAGTTGTATTTTCTTCAACAGTTGTCTGGAACTCTTCCTTGAGTTCTTCAAGAAGCTTTAAAAGTTTTATTTTATCAATGCCTGTTAATAATCCATCATCTACGTATATTGCAAGAATAACACTTATATCACTGTTCACAAAAACACACTGGTCAGATTTTAGTGCAAACAAACCTTTCTTTTTTAAAAAGTTTGTAAACCTTTTATTCCAGTTATCGGATGCTTGTTTCAATCCATAAATTGTTTTTTGTAATTTGCAAACATGGTTATTTTCTTCATATCCATCAGGTAATTCCATATATAATTCTTCATTTAGATCACCATATAGAAAGGCAGTTTTAATATCAAATTTCAAAATATCATGTTGATTTTTAATTGCTGTTGCCAATACTATTCGTAGCGATTCGTTGCAGACTACTGGACTGTAAGTCTCATTAAAATCCAAACCATATTCCTGCTCAAAACCTCTAGCAACGAGTCTTGCTTTGTATTTTCCATTGTCTTTGATTTTAAAAATTCATTTATTACTTAAAATCTTTTTCTCTTTCACTTCATCTCTGTTTACTAAGATCCAGGTTTTATTATCTTTGAGGGAATTCATTTCTTCATTGATGGCCTCTATCCATTTTTGTTTTTCAGGCCCATTGACATCTTTATTGTATGTAAGTAATACAAAATATTCGAGCTTTTCAGCAGGTTTTTTAATTCTTTTTCAATGTCCATATTGATCTGATTCAAAAACAGGATTTTCAACATCATTTCTTTTGCCTTCTTAACTATTAAATTAGGTTTTACTTGCTTCTTTCAATTATTCCAAAACTGCATCTGCAGTACATCCTTCTGTTGAGTTGTCATCGACTGTTTCAAGATTTCTCTCATCTTCTAACTGCACCTCATTTTCTTCTTTATCTTCTGAAATATTGTCTTGTAAGTGGGTTTTAAATATTTGTCGATCCGATGAAGACCTTTCATTCACCATTTCTGTTTTAAACACTACATCTCTGGATATAACTAATTTACGTTTTTCAGGGTCCCATAGTCTATACCCATTTAGGGAATATCCTACGAATATCATTTTTTTAGTTCTAATCTCCAATTATTTTATAATTCCTAGTTGTTTCGCAAAAGCAGTAGTTCCAAAAATTTGAAGTCTTAATAAGTCTGGCACTTTACCATACCACCTTGCTGCTGGTGCTATGCCTTCTGTTGGACTTCGATTTATTAGATAAGCAGCAGTGAAGGCTGCCTCTCCCTACAAACACAACTAACAATTTGTGTCAAAAAATAATGCTCTGGTCCTTTCTAATAGTGTTCAATTTAAACGTTCAGCTTTTCCATTTAGTTGCGGTGTGTGTGATAGTGAGTATTCTAAAATAATACCTTTATTTCGGCACCAATTTTTAAAACTTAAACTTGAATACTCCCCACCATTATCACATCTTAATTTTGAAACTTTTAAGTTATGAAACCTTTCTGATTCATTGATGTAGTTTTTTAGACATTCCTCAGTCTCATCTTTAGTTTTTAACAAATAAATTTTGACAAAGTGAGTATAATCATCTAACATGGTTAATATGTACCTCTTTTGGTCATATGTTGCTGGAGATATTGGACCACACAAATCAGAATGGATAATTTGACATACTCGATGTGCCCTTTCTCTCTGTGTAGTAAACGACAAACGAGTTTGTTTGGATTTAATACATACCTCACAGTTGTCAGTTAGGCTATTCAATTCTGGCTCAGTGGCATTTATTCCATCCACCATCCCTACTTCAGATTGTCAATTCCAAGATGACCCATTTTTCGATGCAATAACTGCGCATTTGATATTTTGTTATTTACCAAATATGTTTCCTTTTGAGGTTTTTCAATATTGACGGTGTATAATCCATTTTCTTGCTTTTCTGCCTGCAAAATAACTTCATTATTTTTCTGAATCAATACACTATTTTTGGTGAAGATAACTTTTCCTCCATTTTCAGTAACTGCATTGACCGACATCAAGTTTTTACATAAATCCGGTACATACAAAACATCATTTAATATACAAGTTTTACCTTCTATTTTTCCAGACCTATTCACTTGCATAGTGTGGTTCTTTTTTGCTGTTGCAACATCAGAACAGTTTTCTATGTAGTTTTCTAGTGATGATAATTCATTTGTCATATGAGAAGAAGACCTACTATCAACCACAAAAGATTTATTATCTATACGGGTATGAGTTGTTGTTAAAAATGCATGTTTCTTAGGTTGCTCACTGTTTTTACTTGTATGTTTTTTCCTAAAAAAAACATTCTTCAGTGATGTGATTTTTCTTCTTGTTTTTTACAGAATCTTGCAATGTATCCAACCTTATTACATTTAAAATGTTTTCTTTCAGTTGTTTTAAATGCAACTTCCTTAGTTTCGTCTTCTGATCGAAACTCCTGTGCGAGAAGTCTAGACGTCAGGTTATCTAAATTTCTCTCTTCAGGTGGTGTTGATTCCCAAGCTGTCACAAAATACTTGTATTTATTTGACAATGTTGACAAAATTTTTGATATAAGCATGTCATCGGAGATAGATTGATCAATATTTTTTAACCTATACTGCATATTTTTTAAAGAACTAACGTGAAAAGTCATGTCACTATCTTTTTTAAAATTATAGTTGAAAATTCTCGTATTAATAAATATTTCTTTTGTTCATTTTCTCTACCATATATTTGGCATAATTTTTCGTACATTTCATTTGATGTTTTAGCACTCATTATGTGTGAGCATGCCTGTTTTTCTATTGTTGAAACTATAATATGTTGTGCTCTTGCATCTTTTTTCTTCCATTCATTTTGGATTTTTTCTTCATCTGTTGTTAAAGCTTTATTTTTCCCTGTGACTATTTCATCTAATGATTTTGCTTTAAATAAAATATCTATTTGAAATTTCCAAAGCTGAAAAGAATCTGTGTTACCCAAATTTTCTATGAATTTGGTGTCTTCTGATTCTGACATTTTAAGTCAATGTAAATAGAATTCTTAATCTTACCTTTTTAAGTTTTAATCATCCACTTAATGTCTTCTGTTTTTTATTTCACTTCACCACAAGCCTTTTTTAAAACTAAGCAAAATCAATCTTTATTAAACTAACAACACAACTTCATAGAAAGAACAGGGTTATAACTAACATGTGTTTTTATGTGTATATCTTTTTTTTAAATTTATAGAATCGATATAACATATGATCGATTTGTAATTAATATTAATAAAATTACTTTTAACAGTATCACCAAAAAAGTTTGGTTAAAATTAGTGACCTCGCCCTGACTGTCACCATCCTTGGGGGTGTGGTGTGGATAGCCGAGAATGGAAACATCGATCTTGTGTCCCTCCCTATTGCGTTTAGGTGTTTATAGGAGTTTATAAGAACTTTCCGGGCAAATCTCCTATATGTCATGGTCAAAAGATGATATCTGATGTTATAATGGAAGCTTTAGCTTTAGAATCACTTTTTTCTATTATTTGAATTCTGTTTATTTTTAAGAACCTTTTTATTTAATGTGAATTCATAATTATTTATTTGCACAATTTCATCAAAATACTGTTTAACATAACATTATAAAATTATGATTGATTAACGAAGTGGCATAATAACATTTTTAAGGTTTGCTAAGCCAATAATAACATTTTATGTCTAACAAAGCAAATAATATCTTTACAGACTGATGGAGCTTCGGCTTGCTTGATTATGTCAGAAGAAAAAGCTAAGCAGCTTGGACTAAAACCTAAGTGCTACTTGAGGGACTTCATCTATGTATCTCAAGATCCTAAGGATCAACTTCTACTTGGGTAATAATTTTAGCTTTGTTTTTAGTTTTTTTTTTTTTTTTTATTACTTTCATACCATTCACGGATTTTTTTTTGTAGCCCAACCTATGCAACGCCCAAAGTTTTAGAAAGAGCAGGGCTGCAGATGAGTGATATCGATGTTTGGGAATTCCATGAAGCCTTTGCAGTTAATATCTATCCTTTTTTATTTATTTTTTTATTATCTACATTTGAATACATTTTATTCCATTATCTTCTTTTTCTATAGGGACAAATTTTGGCTAACTTTCGGGCTATGGACTCAGATTGGTTTGCACAGAATTATATGGGTAGATCATCGAAAGTTGGTTCCCCTGAGTTATCCAAGTTCAACAATTGGGGAGGTTCTTTAAGTATTGGTCACCCATTCGCTGCTACAGGTATGATACAATTCTGTTTGGTATTATTTTTACTTGCCAAACTTTATAATATTTTTTATGAATAATTTTATTCTATTCCATTAAAAAAAAAGATATTAAATTCATCATAGCTTTTGAAGCTCCAATTCCTTATCTCCATTTTTTCTCTTGTCATATGGTGTGTTCTTGATGCCCACATGTATATACTCTTGTCAGCATTAATTTTTAATTACAGATCTCCAGTTTTCCTAACAAATTTTTCTAGTACTTCTGCAAGTGTTGGTACAGTCCGGGGTGTTTGAGCATATCGTTTGTGTATGCTAAATACTGTGCTATATGATTGTAGCTGAAGACAATAAGTTATAACAATTTATGCTATATGACTGAAACTAGTACAATATTGAAAAGCATTGTAGATTGTGGATCTCCTCTAAGGCTTCTTCCTATTTTGATTTATCGTGAGATTATTCCAGTCAAAAGTACTCTACTGGATGTACCACTCATTTTGACCAGTAGAGTGTAACCAGGATCACACACTTCAAACAGTACCACCATTTTGACATTGTGTTTATAAACTCTCCTGATGGCATTTTCTGTATGGCTTTACCATCCTTTCCAACACATTTTTTCTTTTCCTTCAACTATATTTTTTAAAAAGTATTAAAATTTGTGTGTAAGAGTCTCATGACAAATGGAACCAAAAGGCTGTTTTTAAATATTTAAATAAAAAAATGGTAAGCAATGAAACAATAAGATCGAAGTGAATCAATTATAAAGTTATTCAAGTGTTTAGGAAGTAACTCTTTTGGGATCGCAGATGTAATCATCAATTAGAAATTGAAAAATGTGTAACTCAGTGGTCTTCAAATAAAGTGACCTTCAATGGTATTATTTTTGTAAGAAATATAAGTCCAGTGTCGGGTCTGAAACTTCAAGCAAAGGCTTTTGGGTTTTATGCTAAACTTACAGAAGATATAAAAGGGGTGTTTATTAAGTTTAATACTTTCTAAAAACAAAACAAAAGACAGTAACATAGAAAAAAAATGATGCATTAGAAAGGATGGTGGGTCATTCATAGAATGGCGTGAGGGAAGTGTACAAAGACAATGCCACTAGGGTGTAGGTCCAGTTTTGAGTGTCAGAACCTTGCAAATCTACTGTACTTACTACTGGTTGTAACCTATGAAATATTAGACTTTTTAAATCTTAAAGTTAAGAGAGGATTAAAACGTCTGTTGTTTCTAAGTAAAATATTTATCATCTATAATAAACACTTTCTAATCCTCGATTTTCGAACAGTGTTTGTTTAATTCCCAAATAGGCATACAGATTTTATTTTCATTTCAAATGTGATAATGGAAACACTCAATTTTTGAATGATCTATTTTTATGACTTCAAACTTGGTTAGTCTGTTGCCAAGGTAGCAAGCAATATTGATCATATTTTTGGTGATGGGAGTTCTAATGAAAGAACTAATTGTTGTTGGTTTTCTAAATTTTCTTCAGGAGATACGATATTAGAGAATCTTCCCCAGGGTCATCTTCCAACAGTGAACAAGGTTCAAGATATTAAAGAAGCTGTGGAAGAAAACCCATAAAGAACTTGCTTCAGATCTTAGGGCAAGTTGAATAACTGTTTTCAGATATTGAAAATCGATCAGCACTAGTAAAGAGGAAAGGGCTTATAGTGCTGCATGATGTGCTACCCAGATGTTTAACACTTACCAAAGCGTACTATCCCTTTTTATCCAGAATTTACTTAAGACTTCTGATAGTGAATACCTCAAGTTTTATGTATATGAATTAGTTATTTAAAACAAAAATCCACATTTCTCCATTCTTTTTTATTTTATTTTGGTTTATTATTTTCAGCAATTAACGTATATAATTGACCATGGAAAAAAATAATAATTGTAGTCCACCTTAAAATTTAAGGTTTTAAAATAACATTTTTTTTAAATGTATATTTATGATGTAAAATGTTCTTATTATTAAAAACTTTTTTTTTTTAACTTTTAGGTGTGAGATTAACGGTTCATGCTGCAAACAGGCTGATAAGAGAAGATGGAACATTTGGTCTCATTGCTGCATGTGCAGCTGGTGGCCAGGTATAGATCAGTATAACAATTTTTATCATAAAATATTGTTTACTAGCATTAAAACATAAAATATTCTTTCAGGGTGTTGGAATGATTGTTGAGAGGCATCCAGATGGGCAAGCTTCATAAACGAGACTTTTATAGGCTAGATAAAATCTGTGATCTAAAACCCAAATATTTTATTACAAATTTGATATACTTCTAGTAATATCTTAAGTGGCCAATGTGGAAAAGAATATCAGAACCAATATTGCTATTTTAAGATTATATTTTTATATTTATATTATTATGTACTTTGATTCAATGACTGTTAATTATAAATAATTATTCTTTTGTATTCATTATAATAGAAAGAATAATTTAGTTTTGTATGTACATTTTGTTTCACAATAATCAAGATTTTTTTTTAACTACGAAATTTTCAGTTTCATGTGACCCCCTAAAACTATTTATTTTTTAATGTAGCATCATAGTATTGATCTAAATATTTAACAATATTTTATTGTTTTAATATATTATGAAAATTAATTATTTGTTGTAATAAACCATATAGTTATTACTAACATGATTTTAATTGATATTATTTGTAATTAATAATGATATCCTAACTTTTCCTTTATTTTTTTAAACTTGTGTCTTACAATTATCATGAACTATAAAATAGATATTTTTGTTATTTATTATTTTATAGGGTCTCCAATATTAGTTGAATCCATGAGCCTTGAGGCATAGGACAGACAGAGGATTTAATAATAAAAAAAAATCCAGAGGAAAAAGTTTTAAGTCTATCTATGTAGTTAAACCAACTATTATTGTTTAAATTTTACATGTGCAATTAAAACTTGGTGTTATCAATTTAATGTTCCATCATCCTGAGGTGAAAATTACTTGCTGAGCTTTACGTATTTATACAGTGCTATAGAGATAGTATTCTCTAATCTTCTAGAGATTTCACTACCCTAGGGACTGAATTTATATAAGTGCAGACTTAAAGAGTGGAGGGGACAATCACCCCTAAATAATGAAAGAGAGGGGGCGACAATATTATTTTGCCCCTCCTCCCTCTATAATTCAAATTACACAAACTTAAAAAAAAAAAAAATAACAAATATTCTACATGAATAAATAAAATATTTTACCTAAAATCAATTTAAAAAAATTAAAAGTATGCCTAGAATTACATACTTAACCGCTTCCTAAAAGTTCCTATTTTTAAAAATTTCATTTATATTCAAAGTTAATAATATATCACAGGATTTTATGATTCATTCCGATCTAGTTTGAATTCACGTGATGTTCTTATCACCTTTTCCAGGGCATAGTAAAACAGAATGTCTGCGAAAATTATCCCCCTTGCTTCAAATCTTTTTAAACTTCGAAGACTTCAGATACTTCTCTTTGTATCAGGATTCAACACTTAGGATAGTCTGTACACATCTTCACCAATCTTACAAATTTTCTGGGAATTACCAGCTTAGCCATGATCTGCTTAAAAATAGTTTCTTCACAGAATTATAGGATGCTTTTAAAGGGAAAAATAATGCTTACACATCCCAACCTTTTTTTTCATTGTTTTTCCTGCACGTTTTATCCACTCCTTCCTCTTGTCTGAATCTTGGTTAGTGATTGCCTAATGTATTTTCATAATATGAATGAGGCAACCAGGATTGATTTTCCTTTCTAATTGCCAAAATCTTAACAGACCTTGATTAGGATAGGACAGATCAGGCCTGTGTCCCAAGCTTCTGATGCAGATGGACAAATAAATGAGGTTAAGGATGAGGATTTGCCTATGGAGGTTGGTAGGGAATTCCAAAGAAGGTAGCAGGTATGACAAAGGATTTTTTAAAGAAAACAGTTTTATGAGAAGGAATAAGCAGGTTTCTGGGTTGAGGTTTTGTGTTGAAGGAATGGATAGAGGAACAAGGGATAAACAAATCAAGAAGGTTGTCTGGTTGTAAATGTTCGAAAAAGGAGTACACACACCTAGGCACTAGCGGATCCAGGATTTAATTTTGGGGGGCTTCAGCCCGGAAGCTTTTTTTTCATATATATAGCGATAATTTCTTTGGAAAAACAGAAAGATTCTAACTACCTATATGAATTGGTGTTTAAGTGATTCTTGAAGCCCTATTAAATGTAATTAAACGAGCAATAATACTTTAAGACATAATTTTTTACCATAAAACATGGTTATCTTATCATTTTGGGAGGGGGGGCTTCAGCCCGAAAGCCCCTCCCCGTAAATTCGCCTGTGCACCTAGGATATATTACCGTCGGAAAACTGGATAGAGCCACTTCAATTCGGCAAAGAAACTGGAGAGCGCATGGGGACTCCAAATATAAATTTAATGAAACAGTTCATTTGTCTCTTTAATCTGATCTCGAGCACACCAGAAAGTATACAAGACAGTCATAGTCGAAGTGAGGGAAAATGAGGGAGGAAAATAGTAACTGAAGGATTTTAAGGGCATATAAACACGGAATCTCAGGAACATGTTGAGCAATGGATTTTCAGATTATTTGGGAAATATGATCATACCAGGACAGATATTAATCAAACATTACCCCCAAGGTTTCTAACAGAAGTATGGAAACCGATAGGCAGCCCATTGAGGTAGAATAGGTGATGATAAGGAATGGAATTTGTCAGATTCTTGGAACCAATGAGAATGGCTCTGGTCATCTCAACGTTAAACTTTAAATCATTGTTCGCTTCCCAAGTATTATATATGCCCAAAAAAATTGAAAATTTTATCTATAATCTAAACCGCGGTCACCCAATCTATAACCCAAGACCGCGGTCACACTATTTCTCTGTGTCATGCGAAATTTCTTCGTATTTATATCTAGGGGCACTAGTGGATCCAGGATTTAATTTTGGGAGGGGGCTTCAGCCCGAATAATTTTTTTTCATATACATATAACGATAATTAATTATAAAAAAACGAAAAAAATTAACTAACTATATGAAATGGTGTTTAAGTGGTTCTCGAAATCCTATTAAATGTAATTACACCAACAAGAATACTTTAAGAGATAGTTTTTAATATTTTTTCTGTAAAACATGGTTATATTTTACCATTTTGGGGGGGGGGCTTCAGCCCGAAAGCACCCCCCCGTAGATCCGCCTATGTCTAGGCGGAATGTGTTTCAGAATATAAAAGAACTTGTTTATGTTATTTCCTCAACACATTCAATTATAACTTATTCTACAATCCTGTTCCCCTTTGTTCTTTCGGTACATCCTGAAAACGCCTGAGCTGGCCCCATGCATCCATTTAATCAATGAAATAAAATGAAAATGTATTTTATTATTCTGGGACTGTTGTCCCTTTAGAATAAATTATAATTACAGAATGCAGGAATAAATTGTAAGCTATGGAAAATATAGGAGTGTCGCTGATTTCTAATGACCTGGTACAGAAACGTAGCTAGGAAGTACTGACGGCGGTAGGATGGATAGAGCCACTTTAAGTCTGGGTAATGTGCGTATCTTTTGAAATTCTGAAAACAAAATGTATTGGGAAATTCATTAGCCGTTTAAGTTTGGCTTTGAATTCTCCCGAGAGTCCATCGTAAACCATACAGCCATAGTCTAAATGAGGGAAAACAAGAGAGGATACTAGGAGTTGATGGGACTTATATGGAAGGAGATAGCGTTGATGGATGAACTGTTTCAGGGTGAAGATAGTACGATGGGAAATCTCTGGTTTTCAGGAGAGGGTTTGATCAAAAGTAACACCCAGGTTTTATACGGAAATATGAAATAAGATAGGTGTGTTGTTCAGAAGAAGATTGCGGAGCACCGGGAACGATTTCAGGAGTGAGGGGGATCCGATGAAGATCAACTGGAATACTTTCAAAATTAATCAGATTATCAGAGCCATCGATTTTTTATTAAAGAATCTAGCTTCTGACTGGTTAACTTTCTCTTATTTGTTGTTAAATTTTAAATAAATTTAAAATTGATAATTTATGATAAAGATCTCATAATTTATTAATGAGGAGTTCATAATTCATAAATAGATTTTTTAAGATATTCTAAATTCTCCTTCATTGCTTTTTATTTCATGACTTCATTGAGTCATATAATTTTCTTTTTGGTCTAAAATAAAGTATGGTATCTTCAGGATCAGCTAAAAAGAGAAATCGGGTGTTAATTCTATTTTAAACAAAATTTGTATACAAAATTTTAAAAATCTGAAGTAGTCAATATAAATATTTTTTATTAGTGCCGACGTTTCATCCCAAACATGGGGTCATCATCAGGGCTGAAAATTTTAAAATACAATAAGAGATATAATACTATACGACCGATAATGGTAAATTATAAACTGTAGTGATTGATGGTATATGAATCCTAACTAATATTACAATACACAATATTAAAAATGAAATATGTAAAATGTTATACAAACTAAAAATAATGTATATAATCTATTTATAAAAAATTGTAATATTTTCTCTTACTAACCGTGGTTGAAGCACTTTAGATTTTCAAGTACTGACACATTTGGTTGGTAAATGAAAGGATCGGTGGAGGATTTCCCAGTTGTCCTTTTTCAGAGAGCAAAAGGTAGGTAAACATAGTCAGAGGGAGGGGGGGAGGTAACATTTCTGTTTGTAGAATGTAAATAATTTGCTGACTAAATATTCAAGATGTTTACAAGATTTGCGTTGTTTCTTATGGTTACAGAATTATGACTATTGGCTTTGTGACTATTGAAATGAACATAAGCAAGAGCTGCCAATCAATATAAATATAACATAGTTTGATTAAAGGTATACAATGGTTAGCCAAATAATATTTATAATAAAGACAATTGTAATGGATGAAATGATACGTAGGACAATATATTATACAATATTTTAAGAATAACAATATTAATCATAATAGAAGTATGTATTATATTAAGGATTACGTAGTTTTAATAGTATAAGTATAAACATATCTGTGCCTGTTTATAGTATATATTTATGTTGAGAATGGACATTATATGTATATATATATATATATATATATATATATATATATATATATATAAATAATAAACGCAGGAGTAGTTACCTATGTAAGTTGACAGGGAAATGGGGAACAATGAAAAACATAATTTTAATGATTATAG